AGAGAGAAAAGATCATGAAAGTGTGTGTATGTAAGGGGAAAAACAGAACAAACATTTTCTATGTCCTACTCTATAAAGAATATGGTACAGCATTGCCTGAAAACATGTAAATTAATATTAACTTCAGAGGACAGCACAAGAGTCTCCTGAAAGCCTCAGGTGATTCTTGCTGTTTGTAGCATGAATAATTTGTTTCGCAATGGAGAGAATGAAATGCTGCTGTTTCTTCATGGATCATGCCAGAAAAGTATGCATAAAAGCAAAAGATATTAGAAACAAATAAATATGAAGCTATTGCAAGGATGTGATAATGTTTACTTAATTTGTCTAGAAGTTTCAGTATGCAGGGACAGTACTGTAGTGCCTCTGAACTACTGTGTAGTAAGCGAGCACCTAATAATTGTATTTGCTTAGAAAGTTTGTTACATTCTATGGTCTCTTTTTCAAAATTTGTTTGAGTTTTTCTGTGTTTATTCCTGCTGGGCATATCAGAATGTAATTTTCTGAGCTTGACTTTAAATAGGATTATATTAGAATTGTGTGGTAAAGTGGAAAGAAGAAGAGCTACTGCACTATTAATTATTTCCTTTAAATGGAATGCTTTTCATTAACAAAATTTTGTTTCCTCTCCTTTTATCTATAATATTAAAATATATATGTAAGTATTGTTTGCATTTGTACTGAAGTTCTGCAATCCAAAGTGGCTTGTTCTTTTTGATAAATAGAGGCATTACTAAAGAAAAGAATTTTTGTCCATTTGCCATAGTGCTGAGAAATGACTAATGTTCTATGTAGCACCTTGTGTTTAGATGAGATTTTTGTGCCAACAAGCAATTAATTTGAGTTTAAAACTGAAAAATATGTGGTAGGAATAGAAGGTAAAGATGTGAATAATGAAATATGGGGAAGAATAAAAGTAGTAGAGCTATTCTGTGCCTGTTTTTACATGCATATGTGAAAGTGTTTTGGTCTAGCATTTCTAGCAGTTCTCCTTCCAGAAGGAATCAAAGATATTTAAGGAAGAAAATAGAGGTTTGATAGTCAAGATCAAAAAGAACTGTTGCAAAGAACAGTTGCAAATTTAATATAATCTAGGTATCTGTACAGCAGTACTTCGTGGTTATCTATATATAAACCACGTATGAATGAAATTTTTCACAAATATATCCAGAAATTATCATGAGCAACTTGCACCGCTCAGTGTATTTTCCACATATACCCACTTGGTTGAGAAAAGATATATATGAAGGTTTTCTGAAGGAACAAACAAAGCCTTACCTTTTCATGCACAAATTTCAGCTGCTCTTTTCCAGTGTTTATCCACATGAGAGAGAATGAAAAAAGTTTTATGGCAAGACATTCAAAGTATAGCTGCTTAATTTTAAGTACAATAAGTTAATTAAGTACTGCAGTAAATTTGAGAGCTTGCAGCATCAGCACTGGCAGCTGAACTGGAAACATTCATTGTTCTTGTTGTAAACCTGAGCTCTTCAAAATGTGTAGTTGAGATTAGTAATTACTTGTTCTTTATGAGATTGTTTGCCTGCTGCTACTTTGAAATAAATAAATAAAATTATTCTTACATGCAGACACAAATACTTGGAAAGGTAAGCTTGTGGGCAAAGCTTTCTCCCTGGTTAGAAGGGAAAATATATGAGTAGTTGGCTTCCGTTTTTGATAGCTTTACCACTGACCTTTATTGTAGTCTGCAGGCAAGACAGAAAAATTGGCGTAGACGGGTTGAATATCGCCTTTCATTTGTGGTCTGGCAGAACTCCTAAATTGTTAGGAAATGAGACTTGACAGTTTGTGTTATTAATTGGAGAACAATCTAACTGTATTACGACTGACTTCAGTCTAATGCCCCATGTCCACTGATTCTTGTCATCCTCCAAGGATGTATCACTTTTTTTTTTTTATGCTATCACTCAAGACTTCAGGAAATGTCATTACTGTAGAAAGTAGAGCCAACAAGTCTTTAAAACAATTCTGTTCTCATGCAGAATTCAGTTTATATAATGAAGTCATACCAAAGACCACGGTCAATGAAAAGAGTGTTGGCACACCTATCTTGGCTGCATTAAATCTGAAATAACAACTGTGTTTTACCCCGTTCAGCCTGTGTGTTTCCTAGCTGTAACCAGTGCCACTCTGGTAGTTGAAAATACAAGAAGACAGGTAACTTCTCTCATATACATGCTTTAGATTTTCAGTTAAATAGATTGATCACGTTTAATTCTCTGAATCTAGTTAGTTCCTATATCCTACATCCATTTTGTTAATGAATCACAAAGACTTTTGGCTACAGTCATTTTTAAAGTGTCCTGTATAATTATATTTTCCAAATATTGCTTAATGTCAGTCCAAGTAAATGGGTTCTTATTACAGTTTTTGTAGGCAACAAATGCATGCCTAGGTTAAAGCTGAGATTTGGGGCTTAAAGCATATTGATCTTTTTTTTTTTCCCCCCCATATATAAATAGATTTTTTCAGTACTACCATTAAATGTTACTTATTTTGAATTGAAATTGGTAGCAAGAGATCCCTTTTGAAAATAACTTCCTGACAACTTTTCCTGTTAAACTTCAAATTAATGGAAGTATGCAAGTGAGACCTTAGAATTCTGATTTAGTTTAAAAATCAGTTTTTTTCTTTAGATCGTGTCTGAGAAACTTTTGTTTCAGTTATTGGGAGGTGATTTGCTATTAGATTTGAGACTATTGAAAGGAAGATCTTCGGTAATAAAGAAGACTTCTTTGGAGATTTCTGTCAAGAACAACTGTCTTTAATGGCAGCTTTTATTTATTTAATTTTAGTGAAACTAAGGTCTCAAGATACTCCCTACTTAAACACTCTTCCATAGTGTTGCAAATTTAATATTGATGGCATTAAGGCCAAAGGCAGCTCTTAATGGGTTTTAGTTCTGATATGGTACATCAGATCATCTCTTGTCTTTTGACAGGGAAGACACTCAGGGAGCATGGATAAGGACAAGTAAAGATCCAGCATATTAGAAGAGCAGTATATGCAAGTCCTCTGAACCACTGGAATGGGTGTGGAGTGCTACCTTTTCTGTTCCCTGTTCTCGATATTTGTGCGGTAGCTAAGATACAGGCATCTGTGCAGGGAGAAGATGCCCTCCACTGACCCTGTTAACCTTTTTGATCTGTAGTCTTTTACTCTTCATATCACTTTGACTACCTTAGTTGTGGCCTAGCAGAGTGTAAATATCTACTTTTACCTTGTTATCTCATTATTATTTGCTACTGTTGGTTTGACTAGCACTGGGTGCCTGTGTAGTGGTTTCTGTGACATGGACCATTTGGCTTGCCTTTTTGATGCAAGTTGTTAGTTGATGACTCTTGGGACTGAAGATTGTTGTCTTCATGAAATATTGACTTTATTTTTCATGCTGGAGGAAATATCTTCACTATTTCTAATTCCTCGTGAGGTTGTAAGATAAATTTCAGTGAATTCATTCCTTTAGCAAAGAACCTTATCTTATCCTGCCTCTCTTTTAGGAGATGAAACACTATCAATGCTTTCTGCTCTGTTCTTCAAACTCATCTTGACTGTACTGTTATATTAGTGTGAATTTTGCAGTCTTATTTTTGCAAGTGTGTAGGATCATTTAGATGATAAAAGAAGTTACATTAATAAGAAGACATTTGAGGCAAAAGCAGGAGCACTATTACAAATTTTAGGATCAGTCATACCAGTAAACCTATATTTGCAAGAGAGGAGATGATCTTCAACAGGGAAAAACAAGTCAAAAAGTCATGGGGAAATATCTGCTTAGAAGTTGCATATCCAAAGTGTGTGCGTTTAAGCTCTAGTACAGTGTGAAGTATCGTGTGTATGTACATGTGTGTGTCTGACTTCCAGACACAAAAACAGCGTCAAACTCATCTATGTTCATCAATAACAGTCAAGTGAGAGTCAAGCATTTAGTGTTTTGAGGAATTCTGTTTAATTTTAGTTTAATTTTAATCTTTTAAATTTAACTCATGTTCAATTTATATATGTCCTGGTATAGCTACACTAGTAAAGTTCAACAGCTAGTTTTAATCTGTACTGATTGTCTGTGGAGTGCATAAAGAGAAGGCCGCCTTATCACAATCTGACCATGCAGTAGGTTTTTATCCTAGAAGGCTGAACAGAATGTTAACTTGTCATGCTTCTCTATTATAGATTGCTAGCCAGTTTATATATATATATATATGCATGTGTGTGTATACACACATGTATATATATACACACACACATGCATATATATATATATATATATAAAGTTTAACATCTGACAGTAAAATTTCTGCAGCCACATAGGGACTTGAAAAAGGACAGAGCTGACATTTTTCATCATGTCTTAAGTTTGATCACATTTGCAGTATAAAATGCTCTAGAAGACTTTTCTGTGCCATGGCATATTTGATTATTGGTTTTCTTTTGCTTTTTTGATTGATATTGAATCACTACACATAAAACTCCTAAGAGCAGCAATCAGTAATCAAGTTACACTTAAAAGGGGAGAATGTGAATATTTCTGGACTTTCTAATATGAATCTTGCATTGAAAAAGCCAAATCCTTTTAAAAAACCAGAGCTTTCATTTATGAATATTTTTCCTAAAATGCAAGTGGTTCTGTCATGAGAGAAGAATCTATTCAAAGTGATACTTGAAGCTGAAAAATGTACTGATGAGGTACAGGAAATAATTTTACAACTGCTTGACTTTTCTAGCAGTGTAAGCTGACTTTCCTTCCCATGAAGCAGTTGTATTGTTTGGTCATTTACCAGAACAAGATGCAGTTCTCTACAGTTTGTATATAAAAACAATGTTTACTTTCTATTTTACCTCGTTTATTGTAGAGTTTGTTATCTAAGAATTTTTAAAATAGGTAGTGATGAATTTCTCAAGCTATCTTAAATCTTGAGTGACTTCTGATGGTTTCTGTGCAGTCCAGGTGAGCTCATATTTTTCTTTTCCGTTTTATGCAGGCTGCCTTATATCGTCTGAGTGGGGACTGGAATCCTTTACACATTGATCCTAATTTTGCTGCTCTTGGAGGTGAGCTGAGAAAGGCCTTTGTTCTAGAATTTGGATGAAAAATGATATAAATATATTTCATTTTTTCACTCAGTTTGTAAGCCTTTAATAAGGTGGGAAAAACAATAGTTTTTGTAATTGTTAGAGTGACGATCAGTTGTCTTCTAATTCAAAGTTATAGCAAGACTTATAAATATTGCTTTTTGCAGCTAGGAATGTTTGGTACGATGCTTGGATACTGCCTGTGGTGAAAATCTGTCTGCAGCCTGGTTTTCTAATCTTTGCCACCTTCCCAGCTGAATAACCTCTATTTTCATAAGAGAAAATACTGTAAATTGCTATCAAAAGCCAGCAGAGGGAATTCCACGAACTTTTTAGTAGATCATTTTTTCTATATAAGTACCTTGGAAATTCTACGGAATTTCTTATTCCTTTATGTAGTCTTTTCAATCAGAGTAAACTGTTGGAGGGCAGAAAGAGGGATTTTAAATTTTAAAAAATGCTGAGGTACAACTATTGCTACTGCAGTTGGTTGATCATACCATGCTTCATCTCAAAGTGACAGACTGCAAGCTACATTACCTGATTCTTGCACAGATGAAATTATGAAATAATGATCTTTCTTTATAAACATTTATTTTGAGGAGTTTTTGTGTAGTAGGATTACTCAAGGGCAGATTGTAATTTTATTAAGAATTTTGTTTCTAAATATATGTGCTATCAGTGTAAACATATAAAAGTGTGTGTGTGTGTATATATATATATTCATAATTATATCAAATCTACTTTTGCAATTTTCCAGAGTATATTTTTTAAATATACAAGGGTCATTATATAATGTTGTTACCAAGGTAGTAGAACAGACCTATATGTCATGCTTAAAGTAATTGTGTAAATGTTAAGCTCTTCTGTAGATGCATACTAATTCTTAAATAAACTCTGTTTTGTGTCATTCTACATAAATATGTGTTACAGTTAAATAAGAGCTTTCCTCAATTTACTGTGCTCATTTCTGCTCATTTTGCTCATTTTGTTTAGATGATGATTTAGATAAATATTTATTATTTGATCACCCAATTACTATTGAAAAAAATGAAAAACCTCTTTGTAACTTGAAACCTAAATGTTTAAAATAGTGATGATAATCCTATAAAATACTTATAAAAAATCCTATAAAATACTTAAAAAAGTAGAGGAGTACTGTGGGGGATTTTTTTGTTCGTTTGGTTTGCTTGTTTTTAATGTGCTTGTGTTAGCAGTGCACTGGCACTTATAGTGGAAAAATAAAATTAAGTCTGTAAGTGAAGTAATTTCTTAATCTGCCTGAACAGAAAGCTGACATGTTGCGCCTTGGAACTATGTCCATGTCATATTCAAATGTCTGTATTAAATACAAGTTTAAATTATCAAGAAAAATATATGAGAAATGTTTAAGGAGTATTTTTCTTATAATAAAAAAACTTTCTTAATATATTTTCAAATCCAGTTTTTGACTGCAAACTCTGTAAATATTTTAAATGAATATGTGCACCACTATGAACAAGAACAAACATTTACCTTAATGCACGTAGGTCCCTCCAGGATTATTGTTGTGTAGATAATATTTATGAGGAAATATTACACAAAAACATTTGTGTCTATTCCTGTGTCTTTATTTCTATAGCAGACATTCTCAAATACTAAAAAGTAAAAATGTAATTTAGTTACTACTTTAGTCTAGAAGAACTACTACTTTAGTCTAGACTACTTTTAGTCTAGAAGAAAACTAACTTGATTACAATATGAATTCTTGTTTGTGGATGTCCGTTGTTTTTATGAACAACTGTTCAGAGTAGAACTGAAGATATGAATCTGTTGCTGACCTTGAAAACTGTGATCACTCTTGGCTTTTGCATTTAAAAGCTTGTATATAGCTAAATGCTTTAAAACATTCTGTGCGAGAGACATACTAAATAGCATTACTGATACAATAATGCCAGTTATATGTTTTTAAATTGACACTAAGGTGTATCATTGAATTCAGAAATACTGTGTGTACATCATAAAAGAAAAGATGTTAGGAGAGTGTTATCAAAGTGTGCATATTAAAACATCTTAAATATAGCAGAATGGACACCTCTTTCACAGATGGAAAATAAACTTGTGCTACTTTCAGTCTTTCTGTCGTGTCTTTTTTCATTACCTAATCTATCACAATTTCTCTTTTTAATCCTGACTCCTGCTAAGTTTTAGGCTTAGGCTTTGGGCTGTATCTCAAAATCTCCTTCTGTTCCAGCATATAGGTCCTAGTGGTATTTGTGTCTTCATTTTCAAAGTAGTTTCTTTTCCTTCCACACCTTCTAATACCAGATTTTCTTCTCACCAAAATATCCTGTGTCCTTAATAGGCATGGACACATGCAACTGTATCTGGTGTGTCTATGTATCTGCGTAAACACAGAAGACTTCCTTGTTTTTAAATTTGTAATCTCTTCAGACAGAGACTAATTCTTCTTGTGTATCGTGTATGGGATATGTAATGGTGGAGTGCCATTTTTCAGTGAACACGCATTTGTGTGAAAGCAGAGGAAGCAAAGCAATACATGCTAAGAAAGGCTTTTTCAACAGGATTTTTCTTATTATGTCTCTTTAAACTTAAAGACTTATCAGAGGAAATGAATATAAACAAAATGTGGGAGTTTGTAGAAGAGACATGCAACTGCCTAAGGTTAGAAACATTAAAATACTACTTTTTTTTTAAAACAGGATTTAAGAAACCCATACTACATGGATTGTGCTCATTTGGGTTTGCTGCTAGACATGTTTTGAAGCACTTTGCAAATAATGATGTGACCAGATTCAAGGCAATCAAGGTCTGTAGGTTCATTCTTTGCAGTTAATTTCCTGGGTTTTGTGACCAAAGTATCTGTAGCATGGATAATGCTTGTCTGCCACAGTTGCTTTTACTTATTGCTGCATGCCTTTTAGTTCCTATATCTAGTATTAATACCTAAATGTTTAATATATTTTGAATTGCTAGTTGGCTTTTTTTTTCTTTTTTCTTTTCTGATTTCAGTAGAGCTTGCGTTTTTAAGCTTTATAAGAGATCACAGTACAATTTGGTAGTACCTGAGAATGGCAGATGCTCCTTCTCCTCTCACTTTTTGTTTTGTCCTTTTATAGGTTCGCTTTGCAAAACCAGTCTTTCCTGGGCAAACTTTACAAACAGAAATGTGGAAGGAAGGAAATAGAATCCATTTTCAGACCAAGGTCAGAACACAAAGACTCATCATTGTGGGCTTCCTTGTAGGATATATTAATTTAAAGAAGATAGCTGTGGCCTTGAAGGAGTGAGAGAAAAGCAATTTATTAAACACATAATTGAAGAAGTTTCAAAAAAAATGTAATGAAGGAACTTCAATAGGATTAAACATTCTTACTTAATCTCAGTGTGACTGAGATTCCAGTTATATAATAAAAACATTATGTTTTTATACAGTCCTTTTGTTAAATAGCATCAGAGCTCATGGTTTTCTGTGCTTAGCACAGAAAAGCAAAAGGCTGTATATTTCAAGTCAGTGTGGTGTGTACTTTTTTCTGCAGTTAAATGTAACCTTATGCATGCTTTTTAAAAATTATTTTAGTAATTATAATAAATATTATAATTAAAATTTTAATAATAAAATTTTTTTCTAAAGATTTTATTTAGCTTAAATCAACTCCTAGTGGCTTGCTTATATAGGTAAAGTTTGACAAGTTTAGCTTAAATTAGTTTAAACTTAAGTTGCATCTGCTCAGAAGGACTTGCTTAACAGCAGAAGTGTCACAGCATCTGCATCTGTACTATTAATCACACTAAAACAGGGTTTCCTCTTCTATGAATACAGATTTATACTACATGATTTTCTTTTACCTCTTTCTTGGCATATTGGGAAGGTATCCTGTAAATACGTGTTGGTTTATGCACACAAACTTTGTGTCATTACTAATGTACCTAAAAGTTTTAGGTACTAATGTACTAAAGTTTTGCAACACCTCGTATTTACATCTCAGTAAAATTGCAGTCAAAGCAGATGCTAGATGAGCCTAGCAGCAGTGATCATTGCAGCTACAGAAAGGTTTTGGGGAAACAAAATCAAATGAGGGGAATGATAATAGGAACACAGGATAAGTGTTTCCACAGGTATACAACTTTTCAGAATATATGTTGACTGATGGAAGCAAGGTCTGCTTGCAGACTGGAGGACTAATAGCAGCTGTAAAATTTTAGAATGGTGATATTTTCCTCTGACAGTGATGTAGCTTCTACGGGTGAACCCTCTATGTGAGGTTGCTGATAGTCTAAACAAGAGTTGTTTGGTGAACTTTGGAGAGTATTGTTTTAGGGACACATGAGTGTGTCTAAAAGTTACTATCATTCTGTCCTGAGAGACTTCCAGCCTCACAGAATTCATGATGCTCTTCCAAGGCATTTGAAATCTGTAAGCAGAATGGGATCATCTGTTGTGTGTTAAGACTTGCTTCATTACTGTGCTTGGTTCAATCAAAGATGATACATAGAGCTTGGGGGGATTTTTCTATAGAACTTTTTAACTAGCTTCTGAGGAGAAATTATAAAGAGAAATTACAACTTTTAACGGAATTATAGAAAAACACACTGTTACTTCAAGTGATTTTGCAAAGTTATTGTTGCCTGGGTTAATCGTAAATTAAGCCATCTTTTTACTTGCAACAAAGTTAGACTGAATCAAACAGTAAAAGTGTCAATATAACTTTTATGTGCATTTTTAAATCCATTTTCAATACAGCCTTAAATTGTGCATTGTGGCAATGACAAGGTGCTAGATGTGATTTGAATAATCCTTATTACCGTCTTTCTGTACTGATTTCACTTACACAATAGCTAAGCTGTGATCCTGCTGCTTCTTCAGCTACAGTCATCCTATTACCTGACAGTACCTGTAGGGAGTCATTTTGCCTTCGTTATCTATTCACTGCCATAAATCTGAATGGTTTTGTAACTTTTTTTTTCTTTTTTCACCATGTGGTCTTGTCACAAAGGAAAGTATTGGCGGTCAGTCTTCTTTAAAGAGATAATGTCAAAATAAAACTTTTTTTCTCTCTGATTTAACTATTTCAAGAATAAAACGAAAAGATTTTTCCCCTTATCTCCCTGTCATTTGTCTGTGATGTTACAAATGTTAAAAAAAATTTGTCATGCTACTTGCACTATAAGAAACTTAGAGCATGAAACTCTAAGTTAAGGAGTTTAAGGAAACTTAAGGAAATACTTTCTAAAATAAGGTGTGGGTCTTTTTTTTTTTTCTCAGAGCTACTTGTTAAGTAACATTAACATTCACTTATAATGCAAGAGGTACACTTTCAAATAAATACATTTTTTATAATCATTGTGTAAACAAAGAAATGGCAACATGTATTTTTTAAAATTTGCCAAGAGGCAAAGAATCATTTGACTTAGAGTTGTTTGTGAACACCATATACTAATTTGTTTCAAGATTAAAATGCATTCTTTCCCCTCCACCCTCTCTTCTGGAACTTTTGTGGTTTCTCCTTTCTTAATCTATAATTTTAAAAGATGAAGACTCCTTCGGATTGTCTTTTTTTTTTGGTGACCTTCTGCTATTAGATAGCCCTTAATTCTTTTCTTTTTTTTTTTTCTTTTTTCTCCATTTCAGGTCAAAGAGACTGGAGAAATTGCTATTTCAGGGGGCTATGCTGATATAACATCAGCCTTGGATAAACCTTCTGCTTGGGAGACTGCAAAGGTACAGCCAAACAATAAAAGCATTAACTTTCAAAGCAGCGTAATTGGACTTATTTTTCTGAAAAACATGCAGGAGCTACTAGAATCATTTACTAGTCTTATATTCATCTAACTGTTGTTAATATGAATTCAGAGATTTGAAAATGAAAATTATTCAGCTTTTAGAGGTTTCTGGAGGTTCAACTGTTTGAAGGAAAAACCCAGACATTTGGGGATATACAAAATCCATGCAGTTTGAAGTGCATGACTGCAGTTTAACTGTTAGGTTAAGCATTGCTTCATGTGTTACCAAACAAGCAAGACATGCATCAGAGAGGACCATAAGCTTGAGCACTTGCATGACTGAGATCAAAATCAGACTTGAGGTTTTGCATTTTTTCTTAGACTTTCTTCATCCTCCTATACATAGAGGTTATGACAAAAGGTTGGAAGGAAGCCTGAGATCCATTTTGAAAGAATGTTATGAGTTCTCTTTCCATCTGTCATTGGACTGATGCCTGATACAGTCCTAATGCTGTATATTTAAAAGTCAGCTGCATGTGTGTGTGTAAGCTTGAAGTAGCAGACATCCCCTGAAAGACAAAACAGTGCATGCAGAGTGTCCTGGGTTCCTAACGTGGTCTGTAGAGCATGGGCACAAGACCTAGCCTTCGTAAACTTTGACTTTTTGTGCTATGGAATCCTATCGGTAAAGCATTTAATCTTTTACTGTATATGAAATAGTGACATTCTTACACAACTTGTGATATATTGCTGAAGACTGCGTCTTTTCATTGGTTATGTTTATTCTTCTGACATTCTGGAAAGCTATGAACTGTATGATTTTCTGTATTCTGTGGAGAAGAGCACAAGCAGCCTATTCAAAATCACAGAATCACAGATTGGCTGAGAAATACTCCTTCATTATCTTTGTCGCTGCCCGCTGGGCCTTCTCTTGACGCTCCACGTCCCTCTTGTCCCGGGGAGCCCAGAACTGCCTCCAATACTGCACGTGCGGCCTCACCAGAGCTGAGCAGAAGGGCAGGATCCCCTCCCTCCATCTGCTGCCAACATCCTGCTGATGCAGCCAGGATCCCATGGGCCTTCTTGACCACGAGGGCACTGCTGCCTCATGGTTAACTTGGTGTCAACCAGGACTCCCAGGTTCCTCTCTGTGGAGCTGCTTGAGCTGCTCTCCAGCAGGTGGACCCCTAATCTGTCCTGGTGCCTGGGGTTATTCCTCCGCAGGTGCAGGACCCTGCACTTGTCCTTGTTGAACCTCAGGAGGTTCCTCTCTGCCCAACTCTCCAGCCTGTCCAGGTCCCTCTGAATAGCAGCACAGCCCTCCAGAGTGTTGGCCACTCCACCTGGCGTGGTATCATCTACAGGGTGCTTGCTTGCTTGCTCAGGGTGCACTCTGTGCCCTCGTCCAGGTCATTGATGAACAGGTTGAACAGCACCGAGCCCAGTACTGACCCTTAGAGGGCCGCCACAGGCCTCCAACTGGACCGGGCCCCATTTATCACCACCCTCTGAGCTCTGCCATGCAGTCAGTTCTCAATCCTCCTCACTCTGAACTCATCCAGACCACACTTTTGGAGCTGAAAAGCAGTTGTCTGCCCACAAACTTCATAGTCAGTGGTGACTACAGTGACATTTTGGGCTGTAGTTCTCTGTAGTTCCTATGCTTTGATAGTTGCGCTGCTTGAGTGCATGGGACAGTCCAAGGAAGGAAGCTGCAGTTGAGCTGCTAGTGAAATGCTCTGAGTCTCACTGACTGTAATGTGGACATTTGATTTGAGGGAGAAAAAAAAAAAAGAAAAGAAATCTGCTGTAAAAGTGTAAAAGTTGTAGTTAGCCAGTCAAGTCTTCCCAAGAAAATTAAGGCTGCTGTGTGCTATGTATTTTGTCTCTCTCACAGTGCTGGCACTGTTACAGCCTCCAGGTGCCACAAGGAATGATTTAAGGGATAGCCCTGCATTTCTCCTGGCTACGCTTACTACAGAGAGAGCGCTCTGGGAATCATCTTGCCATGTTTTGAACAGTGTTTTGTTGAGCATGTGTTGGTACTGTTTTCAAAGGCTTGTAACTTGGCTATGTTTCAGTAGACTTACTTAAATGTGTTTAAAGTCAAACCTCTTTTACTGGAATGACCAAATTTCCATCTGAGGTTCCAAAATATATAGTCATTACAAGTTTTGAGTGAAATTTTTATAAGCATTTTTTTTAATGTAGGCCAAATGGTTTGTTTTTCTCTCACTAAGATTCATTGGCTGAAATATCTTGACTAGCTGAGTCAGACATCCACCAGGGATGTCTTTATCCTGAATGAGTGAAATTTGGCAACCTTGGAAGCCGCAGGAAAATACGTTACCTAATGGAAAATGTTGTCTGAGGTAACCATAGAGGTGGCAAGAGAGCAGTGAAAGGAGGGTTGCATCCTAGTTTATGAGTAGATGCTGCAGCACACCTTACAAGTTTTTAGGGACATTTTCACTCTAGTTGGAGTTAGATGAGGAATGTCAAAGAAGTAGGTTTAAGTATAGTATTTTATCCATTACAAATGTTTCTTAAAGAAAACCAGCAAAAGACTTGCAAAATCTTTATATGTTTGCAAATGTTAGACATGTAAATATAGTTTGTTCCAGTCTTAAAGGATAAAAATACTGTTTGCACTGGAATTCTGACTGTTTTCATAGTGCAGTCTGTTTTCAATGTCAAAGTAACACACTGGTGAAAACATATCATATTCTGAAAACTAACAAATGCCATTCACCATGGCAAGAGTGGCAATAGTTACCTTGCAAAAGGAGTAAAGAGCAACTTATAAGTCCTTAAACAGTCCTAATTATAAAGCATGTCTTAAGTTGCAGTGATAAATGACAAAAGTAATAAGGTAAGATATGAATAATTCTAACGACTGACTGTATAAAGCATCTTCTGCATGAATATGCTCTTTAATACTAATGGCTGCTAGAGGTGATTGTTTTGGTGGAAGAAGTCTCAATAGCATTTAATCATTCTGCATTGGACACTTTCCTGGACACAATCTTTCAACTATTCAACTAATAATTACATTTATTACTTTTTAACAGAGCTTTCTATTTAAAATTCTTTGTATCTTCTTTTGTTAAGATTGCAGGGCTGCAGAGTGACCTTGTGTTTGAAGAAATTGGTCGTCGGATCAAAGACATTGGAAAAGAGCTGGTAAAAAAAGTGAATGCCATATTTCAATGGGATATCACGAAGGATGGAAGAACTGCAGTTCAGTGGAGTAAGTCATAGCTTTCATTTTTAGAATGCATGGATACATTTTTTTAATAAAGTGAGATTACCTACTTTCGTTGTAAAGCTAATAGGTAAAATCTGAATGAGCAAGCAAAGTTTTGCAAGGAGATCAAAGTTCCAAAATAAACTTTATAAAAATGCCTTTCTGCAACTTTCCTTGCTGTCTGTAAGTAAAGAAAAAACACCCTGTAGAACTTCAATGCATCTTTATTTGAATTTTCCAAAATAAGTCACTTGTACTTAGAAAAGCAGATTAAGCCACAAGGAGTTCTGTACTTAAGGAAAAAGACTGTGTACATATGTACATATGTAAACTAACTAATCTGAACCAACTCATTTTTTATTTCCTGCATTATTCTTGTGACTTCAGTGAAATTACATCACAGCTTGTTTCCATTCAGAAATTATGAAATCAAAGTTCAGGGAAAGTTTGTGCTGCTTACAGATTATTCAAGCCCAGGGCTGGGATGATGGATAGAGGCTGAAGCCTGTTCTGGTGGCAGATGGAAGGGAAGGAATTCTTGGTATGTGGATTATACAGTTATGTGAACTGGTTTGATTGGGCAAAACTGCTTCCTCATTGATTTTTTTTTATCCCTAAATTTTCATTCTTCCCACTTGTGCTCTAGTTCTAAGGACTTGCATTTTTTGCAGAAAGCAAGGTGTATGTTTTGAAGCTGACTATATTTCTGTGCTTTTGGTGTTGCTGTTTTCTGTTTGTTTTTGAGGGATAAAAATGTCTTAAAATAGTTGAGTTGCAATTGGCAGGCCTTCACTTACTTTTTTAGAGAAATGAAACTTTTTTAGAGAATCCTGAGTGTTCTCTATGTATAGAAATGAAAATCTGTCATTTAGGGTGCTACATTGTATTTGGCCTCAACAGCTGGATTCCTCCAGAATGCTTTTGAGAGCTGGAGAATGGGTGGACTGCCACTTTGCCAGCTCAAGAGAAAGACTGGCATGTTGGTAGGTCAGATCCAATCAGTGCTGCAGTTTGTCCCATAAACTATGTGATTTTATTCAATTAGTGTTAGGTCTGTGCAGTGTCTTATTCTCAGTTCTTGTTAAAAGATCTGCAGTTCCTCTCCCAGGGTGGAGAGGGAGGGAATCTAATTCACCTCTCCTAGAGTGATTTAGAATCCTGTAATTTTGCTTTTTCTTTTCCTAAGGGTAAACAAGTGTGGTTTGGAATAACAAGGCTGCTGTTAGGTTTGGGAGAAGATGTCAAGCCTTGCCCCTAATACCGCTCAAGATAGAATCATAAAGTCATAGAATCCTGAAGGTTGGAAGGGAGCTTTAGAGGTCATCCAGTCCAACTCCCCTGCACAAGCAGGGTCACCTAGAGCACATGGCACAGGGCTGCGTCCAAACGGGTTTGGAAGATCTCCAAAGAAGGAGACTCCACAACCTCTCTGGGCAGCCTGTGCCAGGGCTCTGTCACCCTCACTGTTAAGAAATTTTTCCTAAAGTTCCTGTGGAGCTTTTGGTGCTTCAGTTTGTAGCCGTTTTCTCCAGTTCTGTTGGTGGCCACTACTGAAAAGAGGCCAGCCCCATCTTCCTCACTTTTTGGCTAAAGGGTCATTTCCAGTGATTTCCTCTCTGATAGCAGTTAACTTCAGGGCACTGAGAACCTTAAAATCAAAATGAGGTTGAGTAAATATTACGTAATTCAACCTACAGGATCTGCTGTCTTAAAACAGTCTTCAACATTCCTTGTGTCTCTTCAATTTTTCACCTTTACATTCTCAGTAATAGAAATGATGAGCATGCTGAGAACCTGGACAGAAGGCTTACAAAGTGTTTACTGGCTTCCTTTTTTGTTAAAGGTTGTATTAGTAATTCATGATTTAAACTCTAAAATACTTGAAGAGAAGGTTTCTGCTTCCCTTGTGTGTGTGCTATGTCAACTAATTTTTTTATATGTTTGTAGTAAGACATTCAACCTATTAAAAATATCAAAGTAAATAATTACAAATCAAGTGATGTTCATATTTACAATAACAAGCAGAAAATTACTCTTTCTTCAAGATGGTTCATAATTATTTTTAGTTTCAGAACTGCTTTGTAATTTCAACTTAAGTTTACATATGAGTTTACCATGAGACAGACAGCAGTGTGCCCTGGTGGCCAAGAAGGCCAATGGGATCCTGGGGTGCATTAAGAAGAGCGTCTCCAGCAGGTCGAGGGAGATGATCGTTCCCCTCTACACAGCCCTGGTGAGGCCACATCTGGAGCACTGTGTCCAGTGCTGGGCTCCCCAGTACAAGAGGGATGTGGAGCTGCTGGAGAGAGTCCAGTGCAGGGCTACGAGGATGATCAGGGGCCTGGAACATCTGCCCTATGAGCAAAGGCTGAGGGAGCTGGGCCTGTTCAGCCTGGAGAAGAGGAGGCTGAGGGGGGACCTGATCAGCGTGTATAAATACCTCAAGGGAGGCAGTGAGGAGGAGGGGGCGGCCTCTTTTCAGTGGTGGCCGGTGGAACCACTAGACTAGAGGACTAGAGGAAACGGCCACAAGCTGAGGCACCGAAAGTTCCCCAGGAACTTGAGAAAACACTTTTTGCCAGTGAGGGTGACAGAGCCCTGGCACAGGCTGCCCAGAGAGGCTGTGGAGTCTCCTTCTTTGGAGATCTTTAAAACCCGCTTGGACGCAGCCCTGTGCCCCGTGCTCTAGGTGACCCTGTGTGTGCAGGGGGGTTGGACTAGATGACCTCTGAGGTCCCTTCCAACCTTAAGTATTCTATGATTCTATGGTTCTATGATATGTTCAAAGGATGGATGGACAAATAAATATATGAAAAATAGGGTGGGCATATTTAAAGACATGAATAAAGTTTCTGGCTCAGGAAGATTTACAGCTGCAAACTAATGAATGCAGGAAAGGCACATTTAGAGATTTGGGCCTGAGCTTAATGTGGATGAGTGTTTACAGAAGGTGATAAAAGTCAGTATATCTTGAGCAAGAGGATTATTGCTTTGAGTAAATCAAGAGTCAACCAGAACGTTTTCTATTTTCAAACAGAGCTTGTTTTGTCTTCTGCTCCCTCATAAAATAGGAAAGAAGAACATCTTTCTCTGATAAGTTTTGCCCTGACTAAAAGGAATTAAAGACTTGTGGCTTTTCTCTGACCATTCCCTTTGCCCCTGTTCCGATGGGCAAAATCTGATCTTAATGCAAATTTGAAACTTTACTTTAACATTGTGGGATGAAGGATCTAGTATTATCTTAGGCATGTCCTGGTGCTTATTTATACTAGGAGCTTAAGCCAAATGTTGAAAAGATTACTGCAAATTTTAATAGTGTGTGATTTAGTTCCTGCAAGCCCAGGTGTAAAAACAGTGAAAAGTGTTTATGAATGACTATGTCTGTGGTGCCATAACTATGTGGGGCCATATATAAGCATGTAAATACCTAGGGACAAGGAGGATACGTGTAGAAAATGTCCTTACATTTTACCTCATGAAAATTAATGTGTAGCTATAAAGATATATAAAGAACTCTTTGCTGTATATCATTTTTTTCAAAGAACTTTGCATGACCTGATGTTTTTCTGAATATCTTATGTCTGTCCACAAATTTTTTAACAATTAAAAAACAATTAGTCCTTTTTTTTTGAACAACATTCAGCAATATTTTTAAAAAAGGTCTGTGAGCTTGGAATCTGTGTTTTCTTCTATTACTTAAATATTCACAAAGTCATCAAATTCAATTATCCTAGATTCGTGAAATTCCTTGGTGTAAAATAATTGTGTAAATTCACTGGCGAAGTGCTACCAGCTCGTGACAACTCCAGTATCAGCTGTAGTTAGATGGAATGATTTCAGGCTACTACCCTCTCTAACTTTTTAACACCAAGTTAAACCTAGTGACCTAGTGTATCTGCTTGATGGAAGTCTTATGTTAGGAATATATAAAAATATACTATTCTGACTAATCCCCCACCCCCAAAGACCTTCTAGAAGCAAGCACCTAGAATTTGGTAAGCAGTTAGATTAGCAGTATTATGATGAGAACTTTGTTATGTGCTGTCTCTTCTGCAAGGAACTATCGTAATTCATTTTGCACAATGGATGTGCAAGTGGGCAGGGATTTTAATACACCTAAGGAAAGCATCCAACTTATGATATGTAATACAAAATGCCATTTGCTGACTTAACACTTGACTTTTTCTTTTAATGATGTAGAAGCTTTTGTATGTGAGCGAAAGCTCTATCTGTTGTAGAGGAAGGGGATCCTGTCCCTCCTCCGCTCTGGTGAGGCCGCTCCTGGAGTCTTGGGGGGTAATTCTGGGTTCCCCAGTACAAGAGAGAGGTGGAGCTTCTAGAAAAGTTCCAGTGGAGAACAACAAAGGTGGTGTAGGGACTGGAACATCTATTGTATGAGGAAAGACTGAATGAGCTGGGCTTATTGGGCTAGATTTTGGTTCCTGTGGGTAAATATACCATGCTCATTCAATTCATGTTCAAAAGGCTTGAAATCTATCCTAGATATCAAGTGGGTTATGATTTTAGGGTTGATTTTGTTTTAAGTCTTGAGCTAATGTTAAATGCTTCATTATCTATCCTGTCTAAGAACCTCCCAGGACTTTAGAGGCAGGTTTTACTGTTATTGTGGGCTACCTGCTAGGCTTATTTCTTTTGTTAAATCTGTTGCTCCATGGTACTGCCTTATTTTTAAATATTTTGTCTTGTCACTTTTGCCCTGCTTTGTGCTATTCTTAAAACTTCATCAAGTGGCAGCGCTAGAAACAAACTGGGCCCTGCAGCTGCTTGCTGTCATGCTTCATGGTTGTAGCATGTTTAGCTAATGTCCTTGAGCCTGCGATCTGCTAAGAAGGCTGGGAGGTGAGCGCAGCAAGGAAAACAGCAGCATGAAATGCGGCTCAGGGAACTTTTCAGTCTTACAGACAATTTGATCTTTTCTAATCTCTAAAGGACCAAAAGAGTTTTTTATTTATGTTTATTTTTGGCCTTTTTGTTTTAACTCT